ATTACTCATCGTTTTGTTATTTACGTGCTGTAACAAACAATTATCGCTATCACCTCGTTCATTGCAGGTAGAACTGAATGTTCATTTTATCGTAAGCTCCCCCTGCATACATTCATACAAATACCCTTGAAGACACCCTGTATAAAATTAACGTATTTATTTTAGATGCAAAGCTTAGAAGGCACCTTGTATAAAATTAATGGCTTTATTCTAGATACAAAGCTTACAAGACTCAACCTATATAAAATTAATAGATTTAGATACAAAGCTTAGGAGACAACTTGTGTAAAATTAATGGATTTATTTTAGACGCGAAGCTTAGAGGATTCAGTCTGTATAAAATTAATAGATTAATTTTAAATGCAAAGCTTAGAAAGACACCCAGCTTAAAATATATTTTGTACGAAGACAAAATACTTTGATACATATTTTTTGAAATGTTCTGTGACCCACAAAAGAATTTTACAGCCAGCCTCTGGGGAGTCATGGTTCTCAGTTTTAGAAACGGTGATCTGCACGGATCGAGTCCCTGAATTATTCACAGGGTAGAGAGAACGGGACCGTTGTCGCAAACCGTCTCAATGGCTTAGCTGATTAAGCGCGAATCCCTATGCTAGCCTAAAACTGCTGCCGGGAATGCAGACGGCCCGCTTATAGGTCCACCCTCTGTGAGTTTATAGCCCGGAAGTGCCATCCAAAATTGAAGTGAAATTCATGGAACACCGGTTGCTTGTCTCCAACCCTTCGTCAACGGATGCCTGGATCATTTTTAGTCCAGCTTTGAGTTAGGTTCGTCTGTAAATTAGGTAAGATGAGGGGTTAACAAATCATACAAATCAATCATTTTCACCGTCATATCCTCTATTTTATGTACTTCCACTCCATGTATATATTGAATTGTTTGAACTCTTTTTATCAACATGCTGATGATTAGACATAATATAATTAAATCTAATAATGTTATTTATTTTCGTAACATTAGTATGATACAATGTTTTATCTACTAGAATCGTTTTTAGATAAATATTTACACAATATCTCATACTCTATAATAACGATGGGTGCATACAATACTATCTCAGTAATAGATAAGAAAGTATTGCTTGCCATGGCAAATAGGCGATTAAATAAGCCTATTAAAGTGGTCACTAAAGTGTTAATATAATAAATAGTATAGGGAACACTGATATAGTTGATGATATTTTTACGTTACAAACAAATATGAAATGTAAGTTATAATTACAACTCTGTTATTCGCAATTTAATAATGCAAGCAAATTCAACAATCAAAATGTAAAACCTACTTTAACTTGGAAATGAATGAATCCAAATATTTAAACCTAAAAAGTGTAACAAAAATTTATGGGAAACATCGATCGTTATCCTCGTAAGTTGAGAAAGATTGACAAGCGCATACATCCGTCCATGGCCTATGCAGATACAGGGTGCGGCAGAAATAACTCCCGCATTTTAAAAAACGATCGAAAAAAAGTGGTACGAGATAACACCAGAAACTTTTTATTTCTTAAATCTAGATATAAAAAAGTTTTTTTTACTTTACGTTTTAAAAATTATGTCGTTCAAATGGTGGCCTTTACGGACGATACACATTTTTGGAGTCGTTTTTGAAAGTTTTCCATCACTATCGCTAACATTTCGGAGGAAATTCTTTCAATTTTCTCTTGGATGGCTTTCTTTAGTTCATTCAAGGACCAAGGACGATGTTTGAAATCCTCGGCCTTGTGGTATTCCCACAGAAAAAAGTCACATGGACTTAAATCCGCCGAGCTACGGTCCATACAGGGCGTCGTCAGCGCGACATTTTGCAGATGGTGTTTCCGGGTCGAGTGATTTCTTGACGCGAAAGAGTTTCGTGGCCACCGTAGCTCGGCGGGAAAAACATAAGCTAGCTGGACAAAAACATAAAGTAAAAAAAAGTATCTGGTGTTATCTCGTACCATTATTTTTTCAATCGTTTTTTAAAATTAAGTTATTTCTGCCGCACCCTGTAGCTTCTTCTGTCCACTTTATCTAAATGCGCCCAATGGCACTCGGAGGGTTAACACGAAATGTCCTGTGCCCGTTGCCAGGGTGAGTCACCTTGTGCCAGGGACCAGGACTAATCGCAGGAGCGACGTTCCTGTCGGAGATGAGGTGCGACTGTTGCTATACGATGGCACAGGTGGGTGGTGGCAGGGCCGGCGCGGAAGGGGGTGCTACGGGGGGCTCTAGACTAGATCGATAATGCATCTCTTGGCGGGCGTAGTTCCTCTTAGTCAGCGGCGATCGCTCCTGCGGCCAGATATCCTGTTCGTTTCCTCGTGGAACTCGTGAGTACCGGCACTATCCAACCTGTACCGGAACTACCATCTGCGATAGAAACAAGTTTCGGTGGCTCTCCTGCTTGTTTGCACGCGTCCCTTTCATTTTTCTCCCTGCACCTGCGTTTTTCACTGTGCAGAAAAAGGTGATACGATCGCGAGCACCGGTAGAATCGCAGTTTTTCGGTCTTCCTTTCTTCGGCCTCTCTACTGGAACCTTCGAACAGGTTCTCGGTGTGTCTCGGCTCCGCTTTTCGACCCTTTTCGTTTCCTTCCTATCGATTTTTCCCTGTCGACCGACTCGAATGCGGTTTTTCTAGCCCCCCCCCCCCCCCCCCCCAATTCGTTCCACCTTGGCTCCGGAGTACTCGTTTCCTCGAAGACGAGTTTCTCAGCTTCCTTCCACCATCTTTACTTTTTCGAAACGAAAATTGTGGGTGAAACGAATTGTCGAAAAGTGCCGAGATTTGAACGTCGCGAGGGTTCGTCGTCAGGGTTCTTCGAACGAGAATTTGAGATTTAACTTTTTGGAATTGGAGAACTTTTTTGATAGTGGAACCAACAACCTCGAGGCAAGTTTGCGGTGTCGTTTCTGAAAATTGAAAGTGTTCTCATTCCTACGAGAATTTGAAAATATCCATATTTTAAATTTTGTTCAATTGTGTCGTTGGTTTCGTTTTTGTTACCGTGAGTAAAATTTGAACTGAGTTATGGTGCATATTGTACATGTCGCAGTAGCCAGTGGTGTGTCAAGGGTTAAAACAACGAAAAACGTGGATCGATTGTTGTTACTTTTGCAACATGTTAAAAGCTTCTGCTGTTTACTTTGAAGCAACCAGCCATTTTAATTCTAACCCTTTACAATTCAGATTTTCTTACTTTAGTACATTTTTGTCGAGACTCGCATCTAAGATTGAAAAAACTCTTGTCCAGACAGAAATTTTGAATAAGAAATGAAAATTACGCAATGTTTCATTCATTGTTCGTCAAAATAAAAATTAAGATATGAATCGTAGAGTAAAAACATATTTTACGTTGGAAGAATAAAAATTAATCTGTATGACCATTTAATTAAGTAAGTATTGTTGTTAAATCGTTTATTTTACGAATCAAATTTCATTCACCTGCATTTGGGGGGATATATGACATTCTTCTTCTCGAATTCCCTTCTTTAATTCTTGCGCAGCTCAGGCATTTAATGGTACAGTTACCTGCGCATCGTAGATGCGCGATCATGTGACAGAAGCAACATTGAACTTATGTAGATGTGACAAATTAAGATGCAAGCAACATAAAATAAGAACGTAAATCGCTCGACGATGTTTACAGCGTAAAACAAGTTCGATAAACCCACCGAATTAATTGTCCATTAAATACGTAGTCATTACGTTTCAAGAATTAACCCTTAGCAGTCCAAATATTTTTCCTACGCACAAACTTTGGCAGTTCATGTACTTCTCTCAAGTCTTTTGAATTGAACGCTCAATTTTCGTATTTAAAATAAATAAAGCCATTTCGTTAACCTTTTGAGGGATATTGACACACATGTGGAACGTTTGCTTTTATATTAATATTACCATTATTACCATCACGATACCCTTCGAAATTAAAAAGAGAATATACAATATTAAAGAGAGACAGGTTGAGCTTGGTTTATTAAAGTATATAACTGAAAAATTCAGTGTTTTACAGTTAAAGTGAGACAGGATATCTGAATGTCAAAATCGATATACAAATAAAGATTGCTTTGGTTTGTGCGTGTGTTTGATTAAAGCAAATGAAGATCCATTTAAGATTCGTCTCTCGATTTGCGAAAAAAGGTCAGCATTGTCACTCTGTCAACGCGTGAAATACTTGGACCACTAAGTGTTAAATTTTCACGTTAAATCGTTGTATCACACGGTCAGCGACATGGCAGACGATAACGCATCTACCTCGCGCAGGCACACGCCCATCGAGCGTCTCAACTACGCGAAACCGAGATGCAATGCCAAGAAGGGGAAGCACGAAGCGTGCCATATTCCCCTCAAGCGGCAAGATTAATTGACGGCCGGTGTACATCATCTACAAGGTTGGAAGATGTATTTATTACGCTGAGAATTTCGTAATGATTTTAACACGTTCGCTACCAGCGTTTTCAGTGGAACATTTCCCTTCCCCGAACCAGCTCTTTTGGTGCCAGGGACTTTTAAATCAATGCACGAGCGATACATCATTTTCGTAATTTCTCTTAAGGGGAGAAACCTCGTTACGAGTCCAAGTATTGAATGTATCTTGAGATATTTTTTTTTTTTTTTTTTTTTTTTTTTGTACAGAGAAGAGTTTATTTAATTTATTTTTTATGAACTCTAAACGGCGCCCACATCTTTTGTTAAAACCCTGCACATGTAGACTAAAATAAATGATCAAAGTACAACAAGAAAAGGAATTAATATATTTTAAAAATTATTGTTTATAATTAGTTTTGTTTTTGTCACTTTACATATAAATTTCGTTGAAATTCTTGCCTGAAACGCTAAATTATTACACTCTGTTACATAATTAAATATACTTAAATTCTGAAGATGACTAAAAACGAAGAGTCGAATCGTAAAGCAAGTGTTTCTTTTCAAATCGCATGATATTAATTCATATTTGTAGAAGTACAAGTCTCTCTATACCGATATTATTAATTTTCAGGACCTCTTCAGCCCGCACTGGTCCCTGGAGCAGATAATGTAGCGGACAGCGAGGATTCGGAAGACGAGTGGAACTACTATCCAAACAAAGAAAAGGATCCCGTTGACGAGCCGCAGGAAGTGAAAACCGAGGGAGAAATCGAAAGTCCAGAGCTTCCCATCGAAGACAACGAGTTGAAAATCCAGTCTGAAGACATAGGAGAGGGTATTAAATGCGAAACACCGAAGGAGGAACAGTCTCAGCTTATTAACACAGAGGTGCGTCATTCTCTAACTCTAACTTAAACATATAATTCTGATAAAATAATACATTAAAGTACCAACCTCTGAAGTCCTCAATCTTACAGTTGCTCAAACCAGAGTATAGTTGTGAAATTGACTTTATCCAATTTCACGCATACATTTGTATATGGAATTCGAAGTATTTAGTCGCCAGCATAAAAGAAACGCAATTTCTTTGCCTACAGATTAGCGCAGAGAGCGGAGCGGTGGAATCAGATCAAGAGGAGAAACTTTTCGCAAAAGAGCAAGAGGAATCAAAAAACATGGATTTTCCACTAAACCCGGATGCGGCTGAATTCGTTCCGGTTTCGCCTCAGTTCAGAGGGCCGAGGATGAATCTATCGAATGATTATCCTATCTCTGGTTCTCCTTTGAAACAAGTTCCTCAAATGGACGATATCCAAGTGCCGAGCCAGAGCGAATTCGAGGAGGAGGTATGCCAACGACCAAGAGAAGTTGAACCCGAAGAAAGAGAATATCAAAATGGCGTGAACTCGCAACCTACCGATGACGCAGACTTTATAAACGATCGACCAAAGGTGCATGGTTTTGGTGCGAACCTGGACGATTCCGAGATCTCGTCGATGAAAGCAGAGTTTGGCGACGAATCATCCACTAGCTTCCTAACAGCCACCGATTTCCATAGAACCGGCGTCTCTACAGTAGACGAGTCATTCTCGAGTTCCGAACGCGACTACGACATAGCCAAAGATCCTATGGCCATGTCCTTTACGCCCAGCGACTTCGAGGCGGCGTTCGACAAGGCTGTTGATTTGAATGCCGTTCACAATCTCAGCAACACAGACTTGGACGACAAAAACGGCATGATCGAAGAGGAAGGATTCACGGCACAGTCACCGGAACCGCATCCCGAGCTGACAACCCTGGCTTCCCCCGAAGCTGAACAACCAACGCACACGCCAGCCTTTCCTGGAGAGTCCGCGGAACTCGTGAACCTGTCCTCGCAACAAGAGGACAGCGAAGCCACTTTCATCGAGCACACGGACGAAACAAAGGCTAATGTCGACTTCTTGAACCTGCAGTCGGAGTCTTCCCAGTTGGACCAACAGGAAACTGCGAGATCCGACCATTCTCCTTTGACAGAGAATTATTCTGCAGAGTTCGAGTCAGAAAAGGAAGCCGTTTCCATCGATAACGAACCAATCTTAACACCTTCCAGCATCGAAATCGACGAAACGAAGCCTATGGACGAAACTAGCGAGGACGCAGTTCCTCTAGAAGCCTGTTCTCGGCAAGAAGTTAGCGTAAAGGAAGCTGATACGCCTGCGTCGATATCGCCAGTTCCGGAGGCAATGGAAACCGATGTTTTGGCACCCGCGGAGAATACAGAGGTGTCTTCCCAGCTTCTGTCTGCATTGGACGCTGATGCTCCGAAATTTACACCTGGACATTACACTTTTTCTCCCACAGAATCGAACGACGTTTGTAAACCCTCCCTCGCAAAAACAAACGATGTTTGCGAGCCTCCTCACATAGAAACAAGCAACATTTGTGAATCTTCTCCCCTAGAAACAGGCAACATTTGCGAGTCTTCTCCCCTAGAAACAAGCAACATTATTTGCGAGTCTTCTCCCGTAGAAACAAGCGAAATTTCCAAACCTACTAACACAGAAATTAGCAACGTTTGCGAATCTTCTTCCGTACAAGCGAGCGACGTTTGTCAATCGTATCTCGTAGACTCAAGTAACGACTTCCAACCATCTTTCGTAGAAACAAGCAAAGTTGATCAATCTCCGCTCATAGAAGAAAGCAACGTCGATCAGTCTCCATTCGTAGAAACAACCAACATTTACCAATCCTCTCTCGTAGATACGTACAATGATGAAGTTTGTGAATTCTCTTCTATAAAATCCAGCAACGTTTGCGAGCCCGTTTCACACAATTTGGTATTTGGCATGCAGCCTCCTGAAGAAAAAGCCGTCGAATCAATACCCACGCAATCGGGACAAGACAATTTGTTGGACTTCGCCGAAGAAGAGGAAGTTTGCGTAAAAAAAGTCGTCGAGGTTGAATCGACGCCGCCTCCTTCCCCACAGAATTCCGAAGAAAAAGTTTCACAGAATGTCGACGACATGATTTGTTCCATTAAGTCGGCCCTCGAACAAAAAGTCGACGATGTCGTCGAATCGAAAGAGGAGGCTCCAGTTGATGCGGACATCTTCGAATTTAAGACACATGTAACAGAAGAGCCGATGAAAGCAGACGTTTTGAATTTGTCCGAGTCCATGGCGGAATTAAGACTTTCCAGTTTGAAAAGTGAGTTGCTAACGAAATCGGAGGATACTCTGGTATCTAGCTTCGACCAACAATTACAAGAAGAAGTTCCACAAAAAGAGGAATTAATTGCCGCTAGAGAACCAGAACAGCCCTCTGCACCTGAGGCCGAAGAATATAAAATAGAAGCGGAGACAAAGGTCGAAGAAGTTTCTTCAGCGATCAAAGAACCTCCAGTGGAGAAGGCCGCCGAGGTTTCAGGGAACAAAGTCGCGAAAGCGGCCGCAGTGACTGCAGTAGCTGCAGGCGTCGTCGCGGGTGCAGTCGTAGCGCAGAGCAAAACGAAAACCAAGCCTATCGCCGCGAAACCGTCGAAAACCACGGCTACCAAGACCGCGCAGAAATCAACGCCAACGTCTCCCTCGAAAACTATCACTGCCACGACGAGAACGTCCACCGCGGCAGCGAAAAAGCCAACGACGACTCGTCCAAAGGACCTCGACGCTGCGAAAAAGACAACAGTCTCTAGCACAACGTCCAGCAAAGTGCCAGCTACCAAGCCTGCTCCGAAAACGACCAGCGCAACCTCGGTAACGAAGTCCGCAACCAGGCCGAATACTGGTAGTGTCGCCGCAAAAGCAAAACCCACCTCGACCACTGCAAAAACAACTGTTAGCGACAAAAAACCCACAGCAAACGGTGATATAAAGTCTCTGAATAAAGTTGACACTGCCACGGCGAAACCTCCTATCAGTAAGACAACATCAGTTCCGAAGGCAGCTTCAGCGAAAACCACGACCGCGCGAATGTTGACAGCAACGACGACAACGACATCAACAAAGACGAGACCTGCATCAGCCGTCGCCGCCACTAAATCCGCCACCACGACCACAAAAACCAGTATGTCTGCAACCACAACGTCCACGCTCAGCTCGAGACCCAAGTCGACTTCGACCGCTGGAAAAGTAACAAAATCTCGCGTGTTGACGCCCAAGTCCTCCCCGATCATCGACAAGCAAGTCAAGGAAACTGCGAATAAACAGATTTCCATGGCTCGATCCAGCACAGTCACCAAGACGACTCGTGTGTCGACTAGCAATACGACTACAACCACGGCAAAACGTGCATCGATGACGGCGAAGACCACCTCGACGGCATCGCCGATCAAAAAGCTTACTGCGACGTCGAAGATTTCAAACAGAACCTCGACCCCTGGAAAAACGACGACTCAGAAGGAGAAGGTTGTGCAGAACGGTGTTTCCGAGAAAGTGGAGATGAACGCGATCATCGACGACGTACCGAAGAAGGACTTGTCACCCGTGGTCACGCCTAACGATAATCAACTGATCATGAGCTCCGATTGAATTAACTCTGTACGTCGATCAATACGTCACGCATCCGAAAATGTGTTGTTCTTTCTTCGCGAGGAAGAATTTGGATCATCCGCTAAAGTAGTTTATTAGGGAATATATAACGAATCGGAAGGAGTTTTTACTAATAACTAGCGTAAAATATAAAAGATAATATATTAATGTGTATATGTACCGATGAAGTAATGAGTCCGTTTTATCTATACTGGCGAAGAGAGAAAGAGCGACTGAGAGAAAGAGAGCATATACCCTAAAAACGAAAAGAAAGAAAAAATACATGCTTCTTGATTGCTTCGGTCGTGTTGGGGGAAACAGGTGTCTCGCTGGAAAAAGGGGAATAACGAAGATAGAAGAGGAAGAGATACAATGCTAAAAGGGATATCGGTTGAATTTGTAAATAAGTCAAACGCGTTTCGAACTGGTCTCTGAGATTACCAGAAGATTTTATGTCCACGTGGTGCTGTAACCGGCCTGTAAGAAAACGAAACACACACGCGTACGAGCGCACCAGGCCCGCTATGAAGTCGCCGAGATGAAAATTGGAGAACCGGAGGAAGCGTTACGGCGTCCCGGCTTGACCGCACGAGAGGCGGTTCTTAACATATTCTTAACATAAATCACGAAACTGGACGGTCTTTTTATACTTTTTAATTTTATATGTGCATTATACTTGATAAATGATTAATCGTCGTACTTTTTATGGAGAAGAACTTATCTAACACGTACACACACGCATAAACATATCTACACAGCCACGCATACACATACGTCACACATACACATACACACGTAAACAACAGGTACCATATATTTATTTTGTTTTGTTTGTTCCTATTCCGAAGTTGAGTATACTGCGAGAGAATATAATACACTCGTCATTCATTAATACCATTCTTATGTATTCTCTATCCATTTATGTACAGCACTTTTATGAGTTAATGTGATACATATTATTAAATAAATTCGAACAAATACGAAACGAAGGAAGAATTTGTATGTATACGCGAGAATCGTCGATTCGGATACCATACATGGAAAGAATATTGTACGATGTAAGAGAGAGAGAAAATATGTTCTTACGATCAGAGCTTTGAAAATGACAAAAAAAAATGATAGAAGAAATTGTTTTCCAATTTTAAAGATGTTACCGATTATACGCTACATCAATTGTTTGAATCTTACTGCCACGAAACGATACGAATAAAGAAGTAAAAAATGTTTTAAACAATTTATAATAGAACCAAGAAGTATTTAACTGTGAATGAATTTCACTGCGCTACTTTTAGATTTCATTCTTCATTTTGTGCTTTTTCTCTTTATCCGTAGAAACTGCAATACTTGTTTGTTTTTATTTCGTAATGTTTTGAAATATCCTGCTTTATGTATAGGCGTATGCACATACAATTACACGTCTTTAAAAGCATTTGACAGGAAATCTAATTTTAAATAGCTTAAGCGAAAGTACAGGCGATTCAAAAACCTTGGCTTGAGATCTTCAAAATTTGTTTTAAAAAATCGATTATGCACTTATTGCGTTAATATTGATTTTAACCTTGAAAAATATAACGTTAAGTAAATATGTTTCGGCTCATTGTATTCAATTTTTAAACAATAAAGTCGAAGTGTTTTTTTTTTTTTTTTTGTACTTTGATAAATTTGAAGGGATTGTAGATTCTTTCATATCTAGAACAGCAATATTGATTTACTCATTCATTTATACTAAAAAGAAACGATGTTACAAGGCTTCCTCTCCTTCCAAAATAATAAATGACAAAATTTCTTTTTTTTTTTTTCTTTACAAAATTGATTTGGAAAACAAATACATAAGAAAAAGTAAATAGGAATGAATACAAAAATTTAATTCAAAAAGGGGAAGAAATCTTACTAACAATTTAGAGCAGTGAGTATTATCTTTGAGAATTAGAAGCTACCATATGCTTCTTGATTGCTTCGCTGCTATATAAATCTGATAATTTTCGATGAGTTACTCATTGAAATTTATAAAAAATATGTATGCATGCATACAAGCTATAGATAAAAATATAACAAAATGTCATAAAAAGAGAAACTGTCTTGAAATGCAGTAACTGCATTTCCGTAATGTATGTATTTAAATGCAAAATTAGCAACATCCTTCGTTACGCAATTATTCAAATGGTCAACTGTAAGTTTGTTTCTATATTTAATTGATAGTAGAGCTTGTGATAATAATAAAAATAAATATGGCAGACTTAATTAAACTTCTGTTTACATTGTGAATATTTTATCTTTCATTTTACGATATAGGAGAAATCATCATCGATCATTTTTATATTTCTAAAATTTGGATTTAAATGTGTAAAAAGAAAAACAAAACTGAGTTGGATGGGGAAAGAAACAAAGGTAAAGTTGTAAAAAGCTTTTATTTTGCGTTAAAGTAAAAGAGCAGCCATAGTTGTTTATCTAAATATTTCTGAAATTTAGAGCCTCTTGTATGTACGCGTTGCCTTAACGTTGGTCTTGCTCTCGGACAGGTGCTGAAAAATAAAAAAAATTACAATTTACAAATTAACTTGCAACAAAGAAATTCTTGAACAGTCACTTCCAAACATTCAACATTCATGTTGAATATTTTTGAAATCATTATTAATTTACAATACCCGATGAAAATATACTTTATAATTATTAACGTTTTCTTTTTTAATGTCAGTCTTTATTTGGTCAATAAAACTTAAATAATTCTTCGTGGTTGCTCTTATGGGCAAACGATTATATAACTATCCCGATTAGATATACAAAACAAAGAAAAATGAACACGAAGAAACATGGTGTATGTAATAAATGTTACTTACAACTTTCATGCCGGTGTCTGTGAATTCGTAGAGACGAGTGAGCGTGATGTTATCGTTCACAGTCGTTACTATTTTCAGTTTATCACCCTCTTTTGTTGCTACGCTCTGTTGAAAAAAGTAAATTTGTGTTTTAGGTTACAGTAAATTGTAGTTTTGTATGGAGTTTAAATCGGTAGCACTATAATATCAACATAGCTAACAATGATTGCTATTCGATGGCACCAGTAACTAAAGGGTCGATACTTATTGCTGAGTTAAATAACTACTCATAACAATGGTGAATTTTAATATCGTTTTATTATTTTATTTAGATTGATATTACTTTCAAGGAAAACAATGTACATTATCGTTATTACAAATATTGATTATAGGTTCACAGTCTGAACTTACAGACACAGATGCAATGGATACAGGTGGAAGAATGATAGGCACGTTGCTAGAACCGACTGTCATCGCTGAGTAATTCATATATTAAGAATTTATGAAAATAAGTGAATGGCAACATTAAGCAAGACGGGAACACTTGTGATCTGATCTTTAAACGCCACGAGATTGTTGCCTACATTTTACAGTAAGTATAGATTCCTTTGGAGAGTCCAGTCAATTCCTTTATTAATGAAATTGTGCTTATTTAAAATAATAATCCATTCTGAACAGGTTCAATTTACGACAGTGAGAGATAAAACGAAATAATTTAGGACAAAAAAACTGAAGTTTTTTGTTGCATTGATGCCAGTAAAATTGAAACAAGAAGAAATGAATACATTTATAACCAAATGTACTTAAAACGAGAAAAGTGAGAAGAGAGAATCCCTTTACATTCTGTTTTCATTGATATATTAGTACATAAGTTAGACATAAGCATATGTTGTTTAAATAAACACATGTGTATTTAATTTTGATAAAACAATGTACAAGCTAGTTTTAGGAAGATAAATATAATACAATTGTACTAAGACTTTGAGAACTATTTCGTTGAACCAACATTGTAACACATCATGTGAAATGTATGTCATGTTAATTAAGTACAACATATGTTCACATATTTTGAAACTATTATTACACACACTCATATATAACTTGGATTTATCATACTTATAAAAATAAGAGGAGATTGTTTCTAAAATATGAATGTACCTTCAATTTCATACCCTACCTTCTGCGAAGTTCTAATAAAGTATTTTTTAACGAAGTTTAGTTACTCAGAACCCTGTTCTATTTCCTTATTTTTAACCAAAAATGATATTGCAGAAGAATGATAGCCAGTCATTGCTAAATGTAGGTAAGTAATTAGGAAAACAATATCTTTCATCTCCTTTCCACTATTTATTTATTAATATTAATTTATGCGCTCTGTTACACACGAAATAGTGTATAGATTAATAGCAACATTTAAGAATGATTGTTATTACGATTACGATTGAAATTAAATAAATGTCAACATTTTACGAAGGAATTATGCAGTTAATCGTTATCATTATCTTTTTTATTTACATTATAAAATTATCCTCACATTAAACAATACAATATCTTGTATATCAATTATCTGCATAATTAATTACCATTACTTTATACGTAATTATTAATTGCAATACGGTATAATCCTATAGAACATATTCGCGCATATAACTCAAAAACGGGGCAAACTACGGTATAGCCATCTAGCGGCGGGACCCGAAGCTCAAATTCGCGTGACTGCGAGAGAGAAAGGAAGTATGAGCGACAAGGACGCAGAGTGCAGTGTGCGTTTGAGAGAGAAAGGAAACATGAGCGACAAAGATAGTGCGAGTCATAATGCTGCCATCTAGCATACAAACGCCCAAGCTTGTCGAAAAATAGTTTCCAGTTTCCACCGTTAGATGGCGACATCAAAATGTACTTAATTAATCTCGGATAAACTGCTTTAACATATTAAATAATCAATTTCTAACGATATTACAAGCATAATATAAGTATAATACATATTAAAATTGAGTTAAAACGTTATTTTTCGACCATTAATTTTTGAATAGGCTTTAAACCGTTGCGACATCTAACGGTGGAAAGCTGAAGCTAGTTCTCGATAAGCTTGGGCGCTTGTACGCTAGATGACAGCATTGTGCCTCGCGCTATCTTTGTCGCACATGTTTCCTTTCTCTCTCGCACTCGCGGAATTTACGATTACATTACGCACTCTCGCCCAATTATTCTTAATAACTATTTAATAACGATCAGAATCCCACTAACAATGGTCCTTGAATGTTGCTATCGATCTAGTCTTCATTCCCATTGCGTTAAAGTGCACAAAATGTTTGCAGATTGTTCAGAAACAATCGTTTAATTCGAGCTGTCACGCCGCCGTAACGATGCCGTGCGTATCACCTCGTCCAATTATTCTTAATAACTATTTAATAACAATCAGCACCGTTCTAACAATGGTGTTTTAATGTTCCTATAGGCGCAATCTTCATTCTTATTGCGTTAAAGTGCACAAATTATCTTTTGAGGGTTCAGAAATTAATGTTAACGTGTGATAAACACACGGCCGAGCCGTCTATTGTACGTATTCAAGATGGCGGCTCATAGTCTCATTCTTGTCGCACATGTAGGTTTCTCTCTCGCACGCGCCATGCACTTTTCGTCCTTGTCGTACGTGTAGTGTTCTCTCTCGCACGCACTATTCATTCTCCGTCCTTGTTGCTCATGGCTTCCTTTCTCCCTCGCACTCGAGCGAATTTGAGCTTCGAGGCTTGCCGCTAGATGGCTATACTGTATTTTGCCCCGTTTTTGAGTTATACGCGCGAATATGTACTATAAGATCATGCCATATTGCAAATAATAATTAAATATAAAGCACTGGTAATTAATTATGGAGATAACTGATGTGCAAGATATTGTATTGTTTAATGTAAAGATAATTTTGTAATCTAAACAAAGAAGATAATTATAACGATTAACTGCATAATTCGTTCGTAAAATGTTGACAATTATTTAATTTCAATCGTTCAATTGTTATTAATTGTTATAACCGAATACAGCGAGTATTGTTTCAATCTCATATTGAAATTCGCGTGGCGATTATGTGCTATTGGCTTAATACCGTGACAATAAGTAATGGATTTAAATAATAATTACACGTGTAGATAATTATATCCTTTCGACTTATTATGCAGTTGTCGTTCGTCGTAGGTGTCGAGCGTGTCTGTGTTATGATACTGTGTAGGTTAAAACGACCGTGAATAAAGACATTCTGTTTGATACTTGAAGAGGTTTGTAGTTCTGTTGTAAATGTAACAATGATCATTATAGTTATTTTCTTTTAAATTAAGCGCCACTGTAAGACTGAGGTTGTAACACTAGTTTTAAGTGACTAGATTAAGTTTCATTAAGTTCAAGGTTTATTTTCTTTTTTTATTTCCTTCTTTTGTTTTATCAGTCTTCTTCCGTCTTACGCTGGAGATCACATGTGGCAGTTATTAATAAAGAAAACTAATCTTCATATTATAAAGCAATCTTCTTAAACAACTCCTAACCTGAATAATATCGACAAGTTCTAATTCGAAGCTTTACGACACTCGTTGTAGTATATAATGAAAAACAAGAATTAAATGAACGTGAATGATAAATAGATACGACTGAGGGATTTATCTTTTTATCTGAAATTTCACAAAAAAAATTGCATAGTCATATTTTCCCGACACTCGCAACTTTCACCTTCCACGAAAACGATAACGATCGAAGCCAGCCAATCGTCTCGTTATCGTTCGAGGATAAATTCTAAATTCAAAATTTTATCAAGATCTCCCGTTATCAGTATCAATAACGTACAACGTTCAACGACTAAATATCGCTAAATATCGCTTGAATTATAATATATGTACCGCGAGCAAAACGATGTCAATTACCGCTCATGCTACTGTACTATGCATAGCAACCAATTGCTCGGAGTTCGATGCCCTAAGCATAACTGAAGGTAAAGCGGAGAAGCGGGTAGAATTTGACTCCAGTAACGAATGGATGGGAATGAATTTAGAAGAGAATCTTTTCCGTTAGTTACGTTAATCTAGTCTGACACTAATTACTGCATAGTGTTATTAGGTACATCCAAAGCCAAGTTTGTTTCTAAAATTGAACATTGTATGCAAGTAACCAATACCACTGGAATTAAAACAAAAAACTTATAAATAGGCTCCTGGTAGATAAAGTGTTAATAAGATTTCCTATACTACATCCATGTTTGTAATTTTAACAGTAGATGTACAGTGGGTGTAGAGATTATTCGTACACCGATCAATTTCCAAAAAAAACTACGTCAAATTGTAATTTATTAACTTATTTTTATATAAACAATGACATTCTACATATTCTCGAAAATCTCTAGAATAGATAGAGTACAAAAAAAATGGCTATTTATGTAAGTTACGAAATTAACAAAAAAAAAAAAGAACAATTAATCGATAGAAATATTGAAACAATAAGTATTCGCACAAATGTTTAATTATTAAAATTTCATTAAAAAAAAAAAAAAGAAATTTACATGAATGTATTAGGTTGTCCCGAAAGTTTCTTTCGCGAGTTCCGCTCAATTATTTTATGTGGTCGTGTTTATATAAATAGACAATCTAATTTCGTAGATATTCATGTTGTAACAGTAATAGAGCAAAATGAATCGTCCACAATTCAGTAATGTAACATAGAACATAAAATATTGTGCATATATTACTTATTAATAAAGCGAAAGAATCTTTTGGGACAACCTAATACAAGTACATAATACTTCCTTCGTGGGATTTCCTTTTGATTTTATAATTATTGCAACTCTTCTAAGCGTTAAATTAACTAAATTATTAGTTATTCGAAGTGGGATCTTTTTCCATTCCTCTATTAGAGCCATTTTTAAAAGTACTTTACTGGAAATTTGATGTTTTCTAATTCGTACAGAGCAATAAACTAATGTGTTTACGTTACAAATTACTGTAAATCGTTCGCCATAAGAATCGTACAAATACTTATTGCTTCTATACCTTTACCCACTTTTCGAATTTTTCTGTTTATTTCACAAATTATATTAACTAGTAAATGTTGTTTGGACCATATCTATCTTAGTGACTTCCGAGAATATGTAAAATATCATTGATTATAAAAAAAGAAGTTAAAAAACTACAATTTCGTACAAAAGTTTTTTAAGAAATTGATCAGTATACGAATACATTCTGCACCCACTGTATTATTTGTATATACTTAAAACGTGTAGAAATATGTAGAAAAGAACTCATTATAAAGGACCTTGCGATCCCCCCTCCCCACAAAATTCCAAAAATTATCTAAAAATCACGTTTTCAAAGGAGGATGTTAAGAAATGCCCATTTTTGGCATCGCCTGGAAATGAAACATTCATGCAGGATCTTTTAGAGTGTCTCCCAAGGAACAAAAAATGTCGGTGTCACTTTCCCGAGAAACGATGGGAAAGTTGTCAAAAATACGTTCAAAGTATGAATGCGATGATAACGAAACTTACGTATATTTTACATTTCGTCGTCTTCTTCTTCGGATATCGAACTGTCCTCGAAATATTTAACGACTTTTTATACGTCCTGCGATTACTTCGACATTATATTCATATTTTGTAATGAATTTCAATTCATTAACTTGTTCAACTGTTAATGGTTTCCGAGTTTTCACTACAGAAAATCGAAAGCCACGATCCGCAAGGAAAATATCACCCGGTTCAAAGTAACTTAATCGAGAGTATCGAAACGTCTTAAAAATGATTAATAATTAAAATGACTGCGGAGATTTTGAATTTCAAGTCGCAGTACCACCATACAATATTGATTTTAAAAAGTACCAGATTGATGTGGACCAATTAACGCCATTTTACTTCAAACGAAACTGCATTCACGACATTCAAATAGTTTAAAATACTTTGTATATGTGCTAATTGATAAAAGTAAAACCGTACTGGAAGCTGTACTTGCACACTTATGCGGATGCAAAGTCGGAGTACGCGTTGTTGGTTGCTGTTCCCATGTAGCCATGATTATATGGTACTTTGGATTTGCTCGATTTCAAGCTTCAATTCATCTGCCTGCTGAGTTCTTTAATACTTATTTCGAAGACGGTTCGATATCTAAAGAAGAAAACGACGAAATGTAAAATATACGTAAGTCCCGTTATCATCACGTTCATACTTTGAATGTATTTTTGACAACTTTCCCATCGTTTCTAGGGGAAGTGATACCCACATTTTTTGTTCCTTGAGAGGCACTTTAAAAGATCCTGCATGAATTTTCTATTTCCAGGCGATGCCAAAAATGGGCATTTCTTGACACCCTCCTTTGGAATCCTCCATCTCTTTTTCTCTCTTTCTGTCTCTATATATATTAAGTAATTGTAGAAGAGTGGGAGAGTGCCCTAAAACGTGACCGAGCTTCTCACGGCCCCTTAAAGGCCCTCGCTCATCGTCCACTAAGGGGGCGTTAAAAATAAAATACAGTAGAACTCCATTTATCCGAACTAAGTACTTGGTTATACGAACACTTTGATGAGCTCTTGTTATCCGAATTCGGCTCACGCAACGTATCGCTTATGGGAATACGTGAACTCCTGTTATATGAACTAATGGAGTTCTATCGTACAGTAGAACCTTGTTT